CGGCCCCTGAACCCCCCCCTCCCCACAGATGGCCGCTCCATTGGCGTGGAGGGCATCCAAGTCCTGGGCGCTGGGAGCCTTATGATCTCTGACGTGTCGGTGCAGCACTCGGGTGTCTACGTCTGCGCTGCCAACCGGCCGGGGACCCGAGTGCGGCGCACAGCCCAGGGCATCCTGCTGGTGCAAGGTGAGCCCCAGGCCAGGTGGCTCCAGGGGAGCTCTGAAGGGAGCTTGGGTGGGGAGGCGGTCGCCAGGAGGGGAGCTCCAGGCAGGACATGAGGCTTGTGCCCTGCCCCTGCCCTCCCAGCTCCCCCCGAGTTTGTCCAGTGGCCACAGTCCCTGTCCAAGCCTCCGGGCAGCAGTGCCATCTTCACCTGCGTGGCCCAGGGTGTCCCAGAGCCCCGCCTGGTCTGGTTGAAGAATGGGAAGGTGCTGAGTCCTGGCCAGAACATTCGGCTGACTCACAACAACAGGTACCCATGTCCCAAAGGCTGAAGGTAGGTTCCAACCCACCCCACTTGCACAGAACATCTACCCAACTCCACTCTAAATCCACACATCCCCAGGGGGCCGCCGCCCCAGGATAGGGATGCGCACACAAGTGTTGTGTCCTGGCCTGGAGTCTACGTGGCTGAGAGAGGCTGCCTGACCCTTTGGGTCAGCCCCCCGGGCAGGCCTTCTCCCTCCACCCCAGCAGCCACCTCTCTTTCCCTAGCACCCTGATGCTGACGGGGGTCTCAGCTGAGGACGAGGCCATCTATCAGTGTGTGGCAGAGAACAGTGCCGGCTCCAACCAGGCCAGTGCCCGCCTGGCCGTGACCAGGCACCTGGAGCCACCCCCCGCCCCCAGGGGCCTGCGTGCCTTGGCTCTCTCCACCTCTGCCATTCATGTGTCCTGGGAACCACCCCCTGCCAACAGGGACGTCGTGGGCTACGTGCTGCACCTGCGGCCTGCCGGAGGTGGGTGTGGGAGGGTGGAGAGGGGCACTGGGCCCTGCTGGTGGGTCCCTGCTCAAGTTCCTTTCACTCACAGTGCCGTCCGGACCCCTGTGGATGCATGTGCCTCCTTGTGCGCCTCTTGTACTAGCTCCAACTTCTGCAGTCCCGTCCCACTGTCCTTGCAGGCCTTGCCTGGCCAGCCAGGCACCAGGAGGGCTTCGTGCTCCCTGGGGTGAGATGCGCTAGGGAGGGAGCAGATGCTGAGTCACCACATTGGTCTGCTCCTCAGAGCCAGGCGGCCAGGAGCTCCAAGAGGCCGTGGGCAAAGGCACCTTTGAGCATGTCTTCTCTGACCTGGAGCCTGCCACTGCCTACTCCATCCACTTGCGGGCCTACTCAGCGGAAGGTGCCAGCCGGGACTCTGCATCCATCCACGCCTCCACCATGGGCAGCAGTGAGTGACAGCCCTGCCAGTCCTGCAGCTCAGCTTCTCAGACCAGGCTGGTGCCAACTCACCCTGTTTCCCCTGCAGCCCCTGCAGCTCTGGGCTTCTCCACCAAAGTGCTCAATGCTACCTCTGTGCAGGCATCTTGGGAGCTGCCACCCCAGCTGGGCCCCATCCAGGGCTTCAAACTCTTTCATCGCAAGCTGCCTGCTGCCCATTTTGAAGGACCCCTGCTCCTGGCTAGCAATGTCAGCTCCTTCCTCTACACAGACCTGGGTGAGGAGCTGCAGTGTCTCATGACCCTCAGACTCCCTTCTCAATAGTCTTGCCCCAGTCAGTCAGCCTCCCGGCCTAGAAAATCTATTCCCTGCCACAATCTCCCAACCCCTGCAGAGCCAGCTGCCCTCTATGAGATCAAGCTCCAGGCATTCAATGGCAATGGGGATGGCAGCAGCAGTGCCCGCTTCGTCTCTTTGCGTGACATGCCCCTGGTCACCCCAGGTAAGGGGAACCAGTAGGAGGCAGCAGGCCTGGGCTCCAAGTAGCCCCTGGCAGGACCCATGACTGCCAGGAGGAGGGGCTGGCCTTGCTTTGTCCAGCTCCCCTGACGGATGGCACTGTGTCCACAGAGTCAAAGGCTGGGTGCCCTTGCAGCCAGGATGAGAGCAGCCCGCTACCTGGGGTGGTGGTGGGCATCCACGTGGGCCTGGCTGTTCTCATCGTTTGCCTCCTCTGTCTCCTCCTGGGCTGGAGACATAGGTAAGGGCAGGGTGGTGAATACGGAGACTGCTAGGAAGACAGTCTGCATGCCCGTGGCATGGTCAAAGCGCAGGAAAGAGTTCCTACCTATGGCCAACCACTTGACAAAAGAGGAGACTGAGACAAAGAGAAATTCTTAGAAGAGTGAGAGGAATGGGAGGAAGCCTGGAGGACAGGAAGAAGCAGGGAACAGAATACTGGGGCTCCAAGGCAGAAAGCAGAGGTGGCAGAAGTGGGTGATAGCCAGGTCCCTGCCATCCTGCACACAAGGGAGGGGTCTGGCTCCCAGTACCCAGGAGCAGGATGCAGGACTGTGCTGATGTGGGCCAAGTGGAGGATCTGACACGTCATAGTGCTGATCCTTTCTCTCTGGCAACTTCTTCTGTAGACAGGGGGCTCAAATGTGCTGGGCAGTGCCTCAGACTGACTCAGACGGAATTGTGGGCTGCCAAGGCCAGAGTCCCAGTAGAAGGAAGCCAGGGGAGAAGATTGAGCTCATCACCCAGGTAAGGGGATTCAGTGAGAGACAGGGAGAGGGGATAAGGGGAGGGGGAAGGGGAAGTGGAGGTCCTGGGGCCCAGCCTGATCACCTCCTTCTTTCTCAGGTGACCATGGAACAGCCGCCCTCAGCCTAGGGCCCCTACAAGTCGTCTCCCTCCCAGAGGCCACTATGTCTGGTCCCACCAAAGAATCTACCTCACCTGTACCTGTCATCCCAGTCAGGAAGAACTAAAGTTTCCTCAGCCCCTCTCTGGGTAGGGGCAGATCTGACACAGGGCAAGAGAAGAGGGTGGGGTTTCTTCATTTTCAAGAAATGGAGGAATCTGCCCTCCCCAACACACCAAATAACTTCAAACTAAGCCAAGCTCAGATAGATGCTCTAACCCCGTTAGTCTTGCCTCTTAACCCCACCCAATATGTCCTTTTGATCCAAATATGAACCTACCCAAAGATAGAGCTTTAAGCATTCCCCACAAAGCAGGGAGGCAGGATGAAGGCCTTTCGTATCACCTCCATCTCACCACCACTTTGGAATGTTTCTGCTTTCATGTCCTTGGACGTGAAAGAGGACTGAACCAGAGAAAACCGTAATTTCTTGTGGTCTGAGTGGGCAGATGGGAACAGAGATGCTTAGTTCCTGAACCAGAACCACAGAACCATATAAGCTGCTTCTCTGAGCAACCAAATACTCATCTTCCCCTTTCCAAACCCAAAGCATTGCCCCCACTATTGATTTCCCTCCGTGTTATTTGTATTTTGACAGATTGTTCAGAGTTGGGGTTTTGGTTGCCTTGGATCCCTCTTATAATGAGCACACAGGTTGTGGGGCACCCCACCCACCTATTTTCCTCAACTCTAGATATCCAAAGAGTGCCTATCCCAATCCTCCCCTGCCAGCCTATGGCATTGGGGGCCCCCCAAGTCCCTCCTCATCTAGCTCTACCATATCCCAAAGTCCCAGTGTCTCTCTCCAGGGTTGTCCAGCATGGTGCCAAAAAGGGGGCAGGGTCTTGGCAAGAGTAAAGCCCAGGGCTTAGGGGACCCCAAACATTGTCCCTTCTGTGCTCTTGCAGAGTGATGCTAGTACCAATGACAAGCCTCCAACAAGCTGGGCCCTGACCCTTCTGAACTTCTTCCGCAGACGGGGCCTTGGCAGCTTTAACTATGAAATGCATCAGGGGACCACAAAGTTAAAGACAGCCCCTAACTCCACATTCTTGAGGAAATACCCTCACTTCTGGGTGGGTCTGGTCAAATGCTTTGTTGGAAATAAAAAACCAAAACACACAAAAATTAATTAGGTCTGGTTAATGCTGAAAGGAAAACTTTGGAGAGTAGGGTGATGAGGTGTTAAGGCAAGCGCTCCAGTTTACAGGATGCCGAGTCTGGACTAAGGAACTGTATTCTGCAGTTTGCAAAGAAAAAAGCAGCGTTCAGCTGCTGTTAGAAGGCTCCCAAGGGGAGAATCCAGCACATTCCCAAGAACTGTGTCTCTGGAGATGAGGGCAAGGTAATGGGGAGCCGGTCAAAAACAGCTGGGGCACCTCTCCCTGGGACAGAGTGGAGAGCCCCTCTGGGTTCCCACTGCTGCTTTCCTGACACATCTGCAGCTCCCTCATCAGTTAACTAACGTGGAGTCAGTGGCTTCAGAATACTGCTGCTGGCTCTCCGTGAAGGCGGAGGGAATGAGAACAGAAGTGAGTAAGGGCTTTTCGTCATCTCGATAGAAGGGAAAGGTACAAACTGAAGGTACCCTGCAGGTAGAGAATATAAGACATAGTTCATCTCCCAATTGCCCCTAAAATATCCCCACCAAACTACCTTCCCATGCTCCCATGACTAAATCACAAACCACAGGCAAGTTTAGAAACCATTCCTTTCTTTATTAAACATAGCTTGCAAGTGATAAATATTACAAAGTTTTTTTTTCTTTTAATCCTTTCTCCAAAAATTAGCTTATTATTTGAATCTGTAACTGCTGAAATGCTCAGCAGCATCTGAAACAGATGGGAGTGTATTTGTCTTTTTGAAAACCAGTTTCTGTTGGTCTTAGTTTTTAATTTTATTTCCCAAACACAATGCAGAAAATTAGAATGAGTTAAAGGAAAAAAAAAAAAAAAAGGAAACTTAAAGAGAGTTGTGCAAAAGGGTCTTGTCCCCCTCCCTCCCCCCCCCCTCAGAGAAGGCCATTCCCCATCCCACCTCCCTGCTCCCACCCCCCACCCCCAATCTATCCTTCCACCTTCACCAGGGCCTCACCCATCATCCTATATCCTCTCCAGGCTTTACCAGCCAAGAATCTAGAGTGTGGGAATAACTCAGCCCAGGTTATGGGGAAATGGGGCCACTGAAGCAGACAGACTGTAAGACAGCTGCTTTTAGGGGGTTTCAGATGAGATCTGAGGGAAAGGAGACAAGATGTAGATTACAACTAAGCTCTCCTATTTTGTAAGACTGTAGCTCACAAAGGGTGTATCTAGATCACCAACCTGGGGCATTCATCGATCAACCACCCTGAAGGGCCCTGTGGCTCGTGTGGGGTGGGGCTTGTTGGGGCCTGTCCTCAGATGACCAGGCAAGGGGGCACAGATGTCACAGGTCTGACTGATGGCCTGGCCATCACTCTGCTTTCCCCAGCCAAGAGTTAACAGTAGGGGCCTGGCAGTTCTGCAAGGGCACTGTGACCCTGCACCACCACTTCAACTCCAGCCACTCTGGTATCCTCCTTGGTTTTCAGCCCAACACTTCTTACCTCAAATTCTTGTTTTGTAGGTGGAGGAAACAAGCATGGATCTGAACTTTCACCTCGATGGCCAGATTATCTCCCCTCTCAGACATAAGAAAACAGATCTAGAAACTTAACTGTACCAAAGATCACACAGCAAGTTAGCAAGAAAGCTTGGGACTAGAACCCAAAGCCTCCAGCCTACCACCACCCTGCCTCTTTGTATGTGGTTTTCTACTCTCCACAGCCCAGACTAGGAGCCTCAGCTTTGACAGCAGCCCAGTCTTACCTCAGTGTAAGAAGCCTAAAATTGTGTGCAGATGATGTGGGGCTCATCTTAGGTTGAGCCTTCTTAGGATGACTTGCTAGAATCCTTTTTTTTATAGTCCCCTAACAATCCACCCTCGATGACCCAGGAAACTAGGTTCTATTTTGGGGGGTGGGGTGGGGGAAATCCCTTGCATAAGAAAGCTTGACACTGAATTTCATTATATAGGTATATTGTATATATGCTGATGCAATCAGAGGAAAAAAACAGTGCAAATACAATTACAATTCATAATAATACTTGGTTTCAATGCCCCCGGGAACTGCCCCCATTCCTCGGCTACCTCCCGAGCCCCAGCACTTCCCCACAGTATCAACCTAATGCTGGGGGGCAGGGAGGGTGGGCAGGTTAGGGTAGGGAGTGGGCTCTGCCAAGGCAGTGCTGGTGACCCGGAGGGACTACTCCAGGGTGGGGAGGCAAGGCACAAATTAGGGGTGGGTGGTGGGGGAGGTGGCATCTCTAAGGAGGGGTGGGGTTGGAGCAGCTGCCAGTCTCAGTGTGCTGGGCCCGGCCCACTCCCCTACCCACCCTCCACAGCCCTGCCTCCCTACCCCCTCCCCTTCCCCAGAAACCCTTTTGCACGGATCATACACAAACGGGCACATTACAAAATGACATAACACAGTTTCACAATATCCATGGCTAGGGCTTTTTTTTTTTCTTTTTCAGTTTTTTTTTTCTACACAATGTACAATTCCTTTTAAATGGATCAAGAAATAGCTTATATACACGAATGAGTCCTTGTTATAACATCTCGGCAGCAAATATCATAAGCTAATGAAGGTCTTGTTGGAGGGGAAAGGAGCCTAGGACTGGGGTGGGGATGGGGGATGTGGAGAGAAGGGTTATGCCTTCTGGAGGAGTGGGGGAGAAAAGGGGTGGTTGGGAAAAAGGAACAAAAGTAAAATATCAAGAAGCATCTTTACAAAGCAGTTCTATAGCTAATTCCTTTTAAACAGGAAAGGAAAGGTAACCAAAGCAGGAAAACATTTATCTGTGTCTTAAAAAAAATCGTCTACCATACATACATCCAAAAATGTGGAAAAAATACTCATTCCAGGGATGGAGGAAGTCCAGATGCTGTGGTCAAATGACAAAGAAGAGAAAAATTTAAAAGTTGACAAATAAGGACCTCTGTCCCCTAGTTTTACCCAAGCCGTAATGCTAAGCCACCCGCTCCAGGCTGCTAGGTAAGCCCCTGTCCACAAACTACTTTTAAAGTCTCAGGGGGATAAAAGAAGCCAGGCAGAACTGGTGCCATCCTTACTCTAGCATTACCCTGGGTTCCAGGGCTAAAGGATAACTCTGAACAAATGGTCTACCCTCTATCTTTAGGGCATAAGGTTTAGTGTCTATGGGGCCCAATGCCTGGGGATGGACAGCAACAAGAGGCTTGGAGGGACACAAGGCAATTCGTGATGAAAGTAGAGAAATGAGGAAGACAGAGGGATGAGGGAAAGGAAAGGGTGGAAGGCTAATACTTTACCATGATTAGGGAAACCTCACCCCCATAACTAACCCCTGGGAAGGGTATGAAAATGGTAAGGAGAGAGGGTAAGAAATCAAATTTCAGCGATTGAGCAAAAAGGGTCACCGAGCTATACTAGTCAACAAGCAGCTTCTATGTAATTGACCCTGAGGGGATTAAAAACAGGGAAGACTCCACCCTCTCCCCTAATGCCTCAGCACCTTAACAGGCACTGACCACATATATAGGCTTTCCTTCCCCATCATTCCCCATCTCTACACATCTTACTTTCAAAACCCCATTCAAAGGTGGCCTGGCTCCCAGGGAAGGGACTCAGCTCAGGGCAGGGATGGCCCCAGCCCGACGGTATTGCACATTTTCTGTTCCTTACTTTTAATCTCAACTGACAAACTTGGGCACCTCGTACCTCTGAGCACCTCTGAGCTGGGGGAGAGGGAGACATAACAGAAATGGCACTTCTTCATGGGGGGAGGAAGAGGCTAGACAGACATGCCACAAGGCAAGATGATTTGTAGGGAAAATAGTATTAAAAAGAAAAAGCTTCCAATTTCGTGGAAGAGATAAGCAAAACCAAACGATTTATCCAGTGCTTTCAAAGCACAAAGGGCAAAGAAAAGATGTAAGAATATATCTTTATATATATATATATAATTTTAAAATAACCCCAGACCCAGTTCATTACCCACCCCTCCCTCTCCCACCACTTACAGTTGGGGGTACCATACTCCCCAGAAAAATACTCCAAACGACCCCATCACTACCTGTTACTAGCGTCTAGCTTCCAGATCATTTCACCACTGGGGGAGCCCAGACACAGGCTGCATCTCTGCTCCTTTATTAAGTGCTCAATGAATTTGGGGGAAGGGAGGAGACACAAAAAGCCAGGAAGGCCCGTAGGGCCAGTATAATCACCCACAGTGGCTCTGGGGTATGGGGAATAGTGGCCAGAGTGGGGAGAATGAGCCTGATTCCAGCTCCTTCTTCCATCCCATCCCCAAAGTTTATGGGGAAGATGTGCAGTTTGTATGTGTATGTGTTATTAAATTTAAAAGTGCCTTACTTCAAAAAATTACTTTTAAAAATAAAAGTGGGGGAACTTCCCCAGGTGATTTCAAGAGAAAAATGCTAAATTCTTCCTCATACCTCTATGCTGAGGGTAATAACCCTTCACTGCACCCTGGCAGCTTCTGGAGCTGAGAGGCAGGTGGGTATATACTATGAGGAGAGCGGAAATCCTTGCCTCAGGGGTTTCCCTTACCTCAAAACAGCCTGGTTCCCTCCCCCTACCCCCACAATGTGGGCAAATGGGACACAATCCTCCCAACCCCCAGAACAGCAACATTGCACAATTCAATTCATTCTCTACATTAGTAGCGCTTTAAAAAAAAAAAAAAAAAAAACCCAACGGGGGGGGGGGGGGAAGACAACTATTTTTATAGCTGAAGTCCAAAGTGGGTCTTGACATGAGCTGTTTGGCTTTGAGCAGTTAGTGCAGCAGGGTCAGCGCAGGACACCAACCTGATTAGGGGCCCTCATCTTCACTTCCTGGCACTCAGAAAACAGTGGGAGAGGATCAACTGATGGGAGAAAAAGCCCTTCTTCCTTCCTCTTATTTCCTCCCTTTGTAATTTCATTCACTCATGACCACCCCAACTTTTAGGACACCCAACAAACTCAGGCTGGGGATAGTAATTTCTCTATATTACAGATGGGGCTTGGTTACAGGGGACAGATTAGGATGGAGGGTATGGGGGGAAACAACCATGGGTGGGCAAACAGGAGAATTTTACAAAGAAAATATGACAAAGTAATTCTGGACTAGTTGGCCTGAAATAGACTTCTGTGTCTCCTCTGGGGTCAGGAGATCAACTGAACACCCTCTAGCATCCAGAAGGCCAGGACCTGGTCTCAGTCCTTGGTTCAACATTATGTTCATCATCATACTCTTTTCTCCCCCTTCTCTATGAGTCAATTCCAGGGTGGTTAAGTCTTAAAGCTTCTCTCTTCAGGCTCTTTCCCCTCATTTTTAGAGCCTAACTTTAATACTAAACACTGCCCCCTCAAACTGTCCAGCCCAGAAATACCCACAGTTGGTGTGCTATTCCTCCTTGTTAGATGCCACCACCTCCCTCCCACCCAGGTTAAGTGCATTACAAACTTTTGCCCCTAACACTCCAGGTCAGGTTCTACTTGGCAGTTGGGGACCCTACTGCAGTGATCCTATCATTTAACTGAATGTCATTTATGTCAAAGGAAAGAAAAAAAAATATTGGGGGGAAATGAAAAAAGATTTAACCGTCTACTGAACAAAGGGAGGACACACAACATCATTAAAAATGATAATAATTATATAGCATAAAAACAAACTTTAGAAACACACGTCAGAGGACTTCAAGGTTTTTCCCCAGGACCTCTTTCCGACCTCTATCCGAGGCGAAGATCCACACCTCACTGTTAAAAGAAAATCGAAGAGAGAAGACAGAGCGGCAGAAGAATAGATCGCAGCAGTGTAAATAAAGGGGAGGTGGTGGGGCAGGGCGTGTGTTTTCTTGTTGATTTCTATTTTTTGTCTTCTGTTTTTCTGTTTTGTTTTCCGTGTATGGTAGGCACCAGTACAGGCACTGCATGCGACGGAGTTGGGGGCAATGGGAGAGGAAAAGGGATATAGGATTCGGTTGGGGCAGTACAAGTGAACAGGCGTTATTTCTGTCCACTGATGGACTGCGATATAGACCGGGGAGGGATCATGTCTAAAAGGTATTCCCGCTGTCGGTCTGCCAAACTGGGGGCTTTGTGTCCTCCGATGCCAGTGTTCAAGTATGCAATGTTGACACCTAGACCCAGGAGACAAAAGTAGAGTGCATATATTAATAGAGGAAATGACACTTTCTGCACTTCCCTGGGTCACAGAACTGGAGGCAGGGAGGAGTAAACATTAGAAGTTGCAAGCATCTGTCCACGCTCAATTTCTGAACTACCTTTCTGCTCCTAAGCTTAAGGTAATGAGATCTTCCTGAAACTTCAAACCTGCTAGGATTAATGAACATGGTCCTGACAGTATAGGAGAGACAGAGAATAATGGCAAGAAAAGAATTCAAAAGAGACGGCCATCACTGAATCTCCTTGGCTTTAGGGCTACTCACTATGGAGAAAAAGCATACCTGTGTTTTATTTTTTTAAGAACTTATCCACCCATGCACACTGGGGTATAGGCAAGAGGTGCAGGGGGTGACCGCATTCACCACAGACAGAGTGGGAGCAGAACAGGAAGACTGACTAAAAAATACACTGATAAGGGGAGCAGTGGGCGGGTCAAAGAGAGGTCTGCCACACCATGTGGGTCACCTCCCTGGCTAGGGATCTAATGTGTGCTGCAGTGGCTGAGGATTGCTTCATAGTGCTGTGCTTAACCCCTTGTGCCACTAGGGAGGGCCCTCTGTATTTTAGTTTTCTTAAAGATTGGGGGGTGGGATTGGAAAAACATGGAAGCAGCCCAAATGCCCAAAAGTAGATGACTGGATTAAAAAGTTGTGGTACATATATACAATGGAATATTACTCAGCAACCAAAAAAAGAAACACGTGTCTTTTGCAGCAACTTGGATGGAGCTGAAAAGATCCTGCTTAGTGAGATAAGCCAGAAAGAAAAAGAAAAATATTGGATGGTTTCGCTCATAGCAGGAGTATAATGGACCAGGCGAGAAAATAATAAGAATAATGAACAGCTATATACCAGAGGCATTTTGCAGGGGTGGAGTGGGGAATGGGATCAAAACCGGGGGTGGAGGGGTGGGGGAGGGAAGAGGAGGGAAGTGCAAGGGACAATGGTGATGGCACACGGGTGACTCAGTGACAGAAAACCCACGGAAAACCCATGGGGATTACAATTGAGATAAAAAAAAAAAAGTACAAAATGATGTAGAAATAAACTATTATATTATTAAAAAAAAAAAAAAAAAGATTGTGGGGTGGGTAGGTGGGTGACAGAATTAACCAGAGTCAGAGTGGAAAGCAGAACACATGGATCTACTAAAATACACCGCTGAGGGAAGCAGTGAGTGAGACAGGAGAGGTCTGCTGTGCCATGTGGGCCAGCTCCCTAGCTGGGGATTGAACTTATGCTGCAGTGGTTGGTGATAGCCTGATATAGTGGAGGCTTTAACACCTGCGCCACCAGGGGGGCCCCATATCTGCATTTTAAACCATAAGGACAGCTGGCTATATCTGGCCAAAGGAGATGAACAGCCTCATTCAGACATCAAATTTATGATGGCAAGTATAATGTGTGGTTTTCACCACCAAAACCCTCTCACTGTGTCTGGCATAGAATATGAAGTTAGCAAAACACTTGCTGAGTAACAAGAGTGAAGGCAGTAGGGCCTAAAGAAAGAGCAGAAAAAGAAGGAACAATTCTCTTAAGGGGCTCCTACAGGATTGCATATTAGCTAACACTGATCCCTGAGGAAAGTTCTCAGATCAACCCTTCTTACCTGGCATACCAAGGAGGCCACCTGGCACAGACAGCTGGGGCGCCTGTGCAAAGTTGGAAAGCATGGAACGGGCAGATGTGGGTATGCCACGCTGGAGGCTGCTTTGAGGCTGTGGAGCCTGCAATGAGGAGCAGACAGTTGACCATTACTATTCCATAACTGAAGATATAAAGGGAGGCAAGGATATGGCAAATTGGGAGAAATAGTTGGCAAATTCTCAAGAGAACTCCTCACCTGCCGAAGCGTATGATGTCTCATTATGGTCTCCTGTTTACTGACACTGGACACAGCTGGAGCAGTGGTGGGGGAGAGGGCTGCCTGCTGCTGTAATCGCTGTTCAATTTCCTGTTGGGGGTCATCAGGTCAAGTCAGGCAGTAGAGCACCCAATTTCCTAACCATAAAACCTAGAGTTCTTCTAATCCTTAAGCCTGGCACTAGTTGGAGGGACAGGGAAAAGAATCTAGTAGGTACAAGTAGTCAACTTGCTTCACTGAATTAAGGGATTCCTTTTCTCATGAGTTGACTAGAGAGATCTGGGGTGTGGCAATGAGCTGACTGAAGTAATGAAGGTTGAATTACTGAGATTTTATTTCTGACTCTTGTCTATATATTTTCTAAGTGGTCCATGACATTACCTAAAAGGGTCTGGTAAGGGTGGGAGTGGGTAGGAAATGAGATAATGGAAAAGGATTTGAGATTCCCAAAACTCATTCTGTGAATACTACAGAAGATGGTCGCACTTCACTATTCTTTATTAGGCTATCATCTTTCCTCCTTTTGTTACTTCTTAGATAATCACTTCTCTCACAGACATTTCTAGTAGAAATGTAACTCTTGCCACTGAAATCCACAAGTTTGAGAAGGAAATGAAGTTGGGAACAGAAGGATTTATTTTATGTATTAGGGAAAGCCAAGAGCCTCAAGGCCTGTCCCTTTCCCTTAACCTCAGTAATGAAATGTCACTAGCTCTTACCCAGTGTCAAAAACAGTCAGACAGAAATGAGAAAAATGGAATGTAAGGAGGGAAAAACTTAGATCCAGAAACCTGAACCACCAGGATTGTGGGGATCACACAGACAAAAACTACCCTAGAAGAACTACCTTTTGGGAAAACCAAAATAGGAGGTAGCTGATGAGAAATCAGAATTCTTACCTGTTCCTGCTGTAGGGCTTTAACGAAAGCATTTTTCAGTCGGTTGGTGTGTTCAGCCTTTAGAGCCTTTTTCTGGTTGGAGGTCATACACTGTTCACAGAGAATCTTACCATTCTTCTCTTGCTTCCAGTGAGGGGTGAAATCTGTGCGGCACTGGGCACAAACAAAAGGTTCAACCCGCAGAAGTGAGGCACAGCTTTTGCCTAGATGCCAACAAAAAGAAAAATCAGTGGTTTTACATTTCCTACCTATCTTCTGCTTCTCTTCAGCAAATGAATCTCTATCCAGGTGTTTATTCTGCTGAATTAAGAAGAGACTATACAAAAAGAATGTTAGAGTTTATAAAATAGTTTTATTTCACTTGCTTTTGTAACAATATCAAGAAATTTGATGGTGTAGTTTCACTTTACAAATGAAAAAACTTAAGTCTAACAAGTATAGTTCCTAAATGACGAAGATGAGATAGGAATGCAAGTTTTCTGATTTCTTATTATACTATAATGAAAAGTGTGTCAACACAAACAAAAAGAAAAGATGAACGTGTGTTTAATTCAGTCCAAAGGGCTTTACCTAATACAGTTCATACTTTTGCTTCACATCTCTTCACCTGAGATTGCATTTATTACTGTCATGTACATTTATAATTTTTAGTTAGCAGTGTCTTTAATTATTCACTTTGTGGTATTTATAGCTAAAACTGAGCCCCTTTAAGCACTTTCCTCTAATGTCAGGTGTTCCAAAGTCCACAGGTTTGGATATGCAGACTTTAACAACTTCTCTTATACCATAGCATTAGTATTTTATAGTCTGAGGCAGTTTTGACTTACAGTCTTTATATGATCATACTTAATTATCTACATTAGTATGTCTACTTTCTCAACTACAAGCAATGAAAAGGTAGGGAACTGAATGTTCCCTACATATACACATATACACACAGACATTAAAAGTAATAGCTCTAGTCCTTTCCTGCACTGCTGGTGGGAATGCAAACTAGTACAACCACTATGGAAAACTGGAAGTTTCTCAAACTGCTAAAAATGGAGCTTCCATATGATCCAGCAATCCCACTCCTAGGTATCTACCCTACAGACACAAAAACACTGATTCAAAAAGACATCTGCACCCCCATGTTTATTGCTGCTTTATTTACAATCAGCAAGTCATACAATCAACCCAAATACACATATACACAATGGAGTATTACTCAGCAATCAAAAAAAGATAAAACACATGCCTTTTGTAGCAATATGGATGGAACTGGAAGGCATCATGCTTAGTGAAATAAGCCAGAAAGCAAAAGAAAAATACTGGATGGTTTCACTCATAGAAGGAATATAAATGACCAGGGGAGAAAATACTAATGAACAACTATATACCAGAGACATTTTACAGTGGTGGAGTGGGGAATGGGATCAAAAATGGCAGAGGGGGTTTTGGTGGGGGTAGGCAGATTGCACTGGACTATGGTGATGGCACATGGGTGATATGGTGATGAGAAGCCCACCAAATCACAACTGAGATGGAAAAAGGCACAAAATGATATAAAAATAAACAACTGTATTATTTAAAAAATAAGAGTTCCTGTGATCAAATTATATATGCATTATGTTAGGTTTTGTTTAAAAAGAACAAGATGATATATAAAAGAACAAAAAAACCCAAGATACACAAAATACACAATAAAAATAGTAAATGAAAGACAGATAAAGAAGTTTGATGTTGTTCTTAAACAGCCTCTGAAGGAGGATTGGGAGATTGGCAATATTAAGAGAAGGCTATTAAATATTATACAGTACCCTGTGATATATTGCCCATGTTAATTAGGCTTGGTAATCTCTTGCTTAAGTAAAAAGACTGACCAGAAGAAAGAGCTGTCTGCCTCCCTAGTAGTGAAAGGGGTTAAGTCTTAGCACTATTAAGCTATCTGCAGCCACTGCAGCAGGAATTTGATCCAGGGAGCCAGGGAGCTGACCCACATGGCACAGCAGACTTCTCTTGTCTGGCCCACTGCTCCCCTCATCAGTGTATTTCAGTCAACCCACCTGTTCTGCTCCCCACTCTGTCTCCACTGAATCCTCTCACTCTCTACCCTCTGTACCTCTGACCTACACCCCCGCTCTTATATGCATAAATAAATAAATCTTTAAAAGAGAGACTGACCTTGGCTGTCGATGACACTCTGTACGACTTCTTCCAAGCCTACCATGTAGATGAATTCGCTATTGGCTGCACTAGGCAGAAAGTGAAGCAAGGGAGCAGGAGGTTTAGGGGGTGGAATCTCCAGGAGTGTCTTTTCCAGCTGCTTGCGAAGTGCCAGTTTAGCTGCAGCTTGTGAGTTGGCAGCATCAGTCATGGAGCTGGGGCTAGGAAGTGGTGAGGACACTCTATTCACGGTCCCTGGCTGCATATGGGAGGCAAGGTTCATGTAGATAGCAGAGGATGTTGTGCGTTGACAGGGAACAGAAGAACTTGATTGCTGAAACAGATTTAGAAGAGGGGTCAGTGCTGGGATGTGGAAGATAGGACCAATTTTTGCACTGGTGGCAGGGAACACGGTATCTTAATATGGACTATTCAGTTTCCCCCAAGCTTCAGGGAGAAAAACAAAACAAAACAACGTCTTCACTGAAAACCAATTTGGGCAATAAGAAAGGAGAGAGATAGTGACTATGAGCTAAAATTATGGATACTTCCTGCTTGACATCCTTATGCTTCTTATTCCTTAGATCCCTTCTACCTCTTCTAGTTAGGTTTTAGTTTATTGTTGCTTTGCTGCAATGCTTTCCTGTCATTATTGTGTTCTTGTTTCCATTTTTGGAACTGCTGTAAATCCAAGTTTCACTTAAATTACCCTGTTGTCCTAGAGTTTCTCCATGTTCCAAAGCTTAATTCTATGATCATTTCAACATGGAAAGCAAATAAAGAAGATTTCCCTGTCTCCACATTAGCCCTCTATCTTACCGGTTGGTAATTGATGGCGGGATTCATATTGGGTGTTGTGGTGCGTACAAGGCCAGGCTTTGGTGGGCCCCTCTGACCCTGTAGCTGGGCAGGGTTTGGTGCAATAACACGTTGAGACATCAACATGTGTGGGAGGGTGGTATTGGTTGCTGAACGGATGACACTGTGACCCTACGGAGGTGGACAAGAACTAGTTATAGGTGGTAAGAGAAAACATTGCCTGTCACACATAGCTGAGTGAAAACATAGAAACACAGTCAGATTTGGTAATTTGTCTAGTAACCCATGGGCTACATCTACCATCACTATAAGCCCTGATTAATGGCCCTGCTTTTCTGGTGTAAGTTCTTTAACCCTTTATGGAGAGGAGCTAAGCTAGAAATCTATAGAGAAGAATAACTATAATGAAAAGATCAGGGTTATTCATCCTTTTATTGCAGACTGACTTATGCCATAAACGACCAACAGAACTATTTGTAGTAATAACACCTTTACAATGGCTAAGTTCTATAACCTTCACAAAAGCCCCAAGACAGAGACAGGATAAACAGGGTCCTTCAATACGAAGAACTTCCTAATGGTCACATACCTGTAATGTCCTCAAATTCTGAGGTTCAACTCCTTGAGCTCCAGGCCGGGAGGGAAGTTTGGATAGGCCCTGCTGTCCCACATGGGCAGGAGATGGCTGAACAATAGATGCTGCATTCTGTACAACTGGAGTCTGGAGAAAAGAAGAGAAAAATGAGACCATGGAAAAGCTAATGATTAGAGTAGAAATCTGGTACATTTCTAGACTTTTAAAATTTCTTACTAAAGATAAAATTTCTTATTAGTGGAAACTTCTGTAAAGCTGTGGTAATGAGGAAAAGATGAGGAAAGTGCAATCAAGATTTTCTTCAATAAAGCTGTAAGATTAAAAAAAAAGTCACTCTTCTTGGAGATTAAAATCCATGGAAGAGAATGATGAACCACCCAGTCACATCTATCTGGGTAGCCTATTGTCATAAAATTTTTTTTTCCCTTTTCCCATGTTTCTTATTTCAGGACAAATTACCTTCTGGACCACATTCTCTTTCTGTAGCTGACTTTGTCTCAGTTTCTTTAACAGCACCAGTCGGGCTTCCTCCAATCGCAGCTCATCCCTCAGCTGCTTGATAAGCTGTTGCCGTTCCTCAATGCCTTTCCCCTAAGGAAACATGGAAACTGTTGGTTATATAGCAGCAGGTACTCAAGAATTCCGTTTTGAAAGTTGATTTCTGTAACTTCCACAAGAAGGAGAAGTGACTAAGAGACTTACTATCTTTTTGTTTATGGGGTCTGATACAGTGCCTGGCATGTAGTTGATACTCAAAAAATTATAAAAGGAGAAATTATATACAAAAAATATGATTAACAATCAACCACATGCTTGGCAACATAGAAAAATGGTCAAAGAGAGACAACCCTTACTTTTAAAGTAATGTTTCTAAATCTTTTACACCATATTTTCTGATATATATGTAAAACTTAGAAATTCTTCCATTTTCTGGGACCCAGGATTGAATGTAGAAAACATCCTAAGAGTTTACTTTATATGACCTGAATTATGAAGTTTTGTTTTTATTTTCCTACTGAAAATTCTTTTCCAAACCGTCTTCTCCACTTGATTCCAATCAATCCCTCTAAAAAGGTATGGGCCTTAAGTTGAGAGTCACTTATATATGAATTTCATCAATGGGTAGATAGTTAGACCTAAGAATGTAAGAGGAAAAAAAAAATATATATTTTTTCTTTTTTTAACCTTAAACATTTCCAGGTTGGCTGCTTTGAGTCTTTCTTCCATTCGGGAGCTGGATCGGGGACTGGAAGCCTCATTGTCTGACAAAACGATGATGTCTGGGGAGGGTGTCAGTCTTCCTCGGTCTGGCTCACTAGATAAGGAGAGGAAAAATTAAGGTGTTGCTGATTGTGAAGATTCATAGAAAACTCAAGGACACTTGTTTAGAATGAAGAAACATCAGTGAACTTTGGTCTATTCTAATTCACCCAGATACATTTAAGTACTATGAACAAGACAACACCAAGATGTAATTAATGACATCAGTGACAGTAAAAGTACTCTTCCCATCTAAATTTCTTAGAGGATGCAGGGACAAAAAGATAAAGACAATGACTGGCTTTAGAAATGGGAATATGAGATGTATTCTTATTACATTGATTTTAATGAAATTCTCAATGTTTTCCCTATATATCACTTTCCTTTAGTTTATCTCACTAATTATACAGAGGCTGAAGAAGACAAAGGAAGGAGTGTAAAAGCAGTAGACCCTCACTCTACTTCAGGTATAGGTTATGTACTGCTGAAGAGACAGCTGATTATACTGATAACGCAGTACTGCTTACCTGAGGATATATAAAAAAGGCAGCTAGTGACAACTCCAGTGACTGACTATCCAGTCAAAAGTTAAGAACAAAGGGGTTAGAAATCTCAGCACCATCAAGGTATTACTAGCCTCAGAAGCATGAGTTTGATCCCCTCACCATGAAGCTAACTCATAAAACACAGCAAACCTCTCCTGTCTCACCTGCTGCTCCCCTCAGCAGTATATTTCATTTAATCCACCTACGCTGCTCCCCAATCTGTCTCTAGTGAATCCCCTTCACCCTCTGCACCTCTGACCTATACCCCACTTCTCGTTACCTTAACAAAAAAAAAAAAAGTTAAAGCAAAGAAAGTACTGTTGTCAGTGGCCTGAAGGAATAGATAGTGTCAGGGGTAATCTCTGCTGCCTTCTGGAGAACTGAAACTTGAACTAAATGTATGGAACTTGTACCTACTTGCCATACTTCTATTCAGCATCTCCCAGGAGGGTGGGGGGAAACAGCTTAGCAAAGACTTTGAAACTTAAACCTTCCACATTGGCTCCCTTTATTTCCAATACTATTTACTGGACAACTTTTGTTTTGACTTTCTGGCCTACCCTTAAAAGCTTCACATTTCTTCTCTAAGAGGATAAAAAGTGACACTTATTGCTTAAGACTAGAGTAACAAAAATTTTGGAAATTCTGACGATTATCTTCAACTCTCATCTGATCTTTTAAAGATATCTTCCCACGTTCTGTTCCCTCGAGGTCTTCAAGGTAGCAGAATGCAGCTCGAGGGCAATGTGTTTTTGAATTTTATTTAAACATGTAATTCATAGATCTTTCTTTAGTCCTGGAAAGTCTACCATTTCTTTGAGTGTCTCAGTGGCTATTGGGACACATGTGGGTTTTGAACAGGTGCCCCCTGATGTTTGGGATACACATTCAATTTCTCAAGAGAGAATTAACTAAAATCATCCAAATTTACTGAGAAAACAAAATAGGGGACAGAGTGGTGAGAATTACTCTGTGGGAACTATTCAAAGTTTGTTTGAATTACTATATAATTATTGATCACAGACATAGTGAAATGAGAATGTGGGGTTATAGAAAAAGAAACCATTTGAGGGAGAAAACAACTTTCATTTTCAAATCTCAAGTTCCTAGAGTAATAGTCAAGATTAAAATGCTTAAATTCATTTTTTGGGTGTATTTATCATTTTTATATTCCTCACTCCCTTTGTAAACTAACATGAGTGAAAAATCTGGTGGTCTCGTACATTATCCTTTCTAAATATTTAGATCAATAGTTAGAAGCTCTTTCCATTTTGGTCCTGCTTAAATACATAAATCACAGATTACTTCTGAACTGAGTATTTCTTCTTAGTACCATCCACTGCTTAGAAACTGCCTAGCAACACAGTATTCCACGATGAGATTTTAAACTTGAGGGGCATTCATCAGGAAGTTGTATCTGAGAACACTAAATGATATTTTGGTCCAGATACATTCAGATCCACAGCTAGCACAGTTAAAAGCAGAAGTCTAAGTCAACTTTCATTCCTCATTTTTTTTCCTTTCTTAGTCTTGATCTGCAGTCTGCCCTCCTTTAGTAAATATTCTGGAGACAAATTTTTGGCTCCTTTTCCAAACATACGCTTTACAGTTTTGGTTCATAATTATGAAACCCTACCTATTAGAAAGATATTGAAAGCCTGGCTTGTGCCTACCTGGAGGTGAAGGGGTTAAGTCTCAGCACATGGAGCTATCAGCAGCCACTGCAGCATGAGTGAGATCTGGCCAGGGAGCTGAACCACATGGTGCAGCAGACCTCCCTTGTCTTACCCAGTACCTCCTTCAGGAGTGTATGTCAGTTAATCCGTCTGTTCTGCTCCCCAATCTATCTCTGGTGAATCCTCTCAACCCCCATTCTTCCACCCCCACACCTATGGTGTATGCCTGGCTCTTGTATGAATAAATAAAATAAATCTTAATAAACAAATAAATAAATGCAAGCCTAACTTGCTACTGCTTCTATCCCTTGTGACTTACAAGGCAGATTAGCAGAAGCTATAAAATTCCTAATCCTTATCATGGTAGTAAAAAGCAAACTAGCATTCCAAAATATAAGCAGTACTGGTTTTATGTATACCTTATTTCATAGATATCACAACATGTTTAAACGATGTAAAAAAAAAAAGATTTAAGGAATTATGATATGGCTATCATATCAAGAACTACTTCTTTCTTCATGCTTTTAAATTTCCTTCTTTTTTTCCTTTATTAAAAAATGTATTTATGTACACAAGAAGTGGGGTATAGGCTAGAGGTGCAGGAGGGAGAGGATTCACAAGAAAGAGTGGGGAACAGAACAAGCAGACTGACTGAAACACATTGCTGAGGGAAACAGCGAGTGAGACAGGGAAGGGCTGCTGTGCCACGGGGTCACCTTCCTTACTGGGGATTGAACTTGTACTGCAGTAGCTATAGACAGCCTCATAGTGCTGTGCTTTTAACCTTTTGTGTCAACAGGGAGGACCCCTTTTTTCTCTTAATCAAAAAAAAAAAGGAAGTTTTTTCCCCAATGGTCCAAGTTTAAAACCCTTTAAAATAAAAAAAATTTTTTTTTCTATTACATTTTCCCCTTACATTGTTGTAGCCCCTATAGTTCTCCCACATCACCCGTGAACCACTACCAGTGCAATGCTCTTAAGACACCACTGTTCCCTAAGTTGAAGAACCTATTTATCATATATATGTATTTTAAAGATTATATATACAGAGCTGGAGTGTAGGCCAGAGGTGTGGTGTGTGAGAGGATTCACCAGAGACAGAGTAGGGAGCAGTAGGAGAGTCAGGAGAGGCCTGCTGCACCTTATGTGTCAGCTCCCTGGTTGGGGATTGATCTTGCTGCAATGGCTGCCCATAGTTTCAGAGTGCTGACACTTAACCCTTTGAACCCCAATCTTATGTATTCTTATAAAAAGAATGGGGCTAAATGGGCTAAATGGAAATAGCTGTGAGTAAGTCTGGTGAAAGAAGAATGACAGGGGCCCAAAGTGCTTTCTTTCCATGCTAAATGGAGATCTGGATGGTTTACGTCAATCAGGTTTTCCCCTAAAGACCAAAAGCACTTTTCCAGTTTTCAGAGGGTCAAATTTCAAAAGTTTACCCTTCTAAAACAAACACACACACACAAGCGTATTCAGGCTAGTCTGACTTTTTAACACAGGCTTCATGACCTAGTAGACTTCCAACAATAAGCTCTCACCAAAATGTTCAATAATATGTCTGTCAAAAATGTATTTTCAGTTCCAATTTGGGATAAAAGAAATCCATCTAACATCATTCCTTTTCCTCAATAGTCAATTGCTCCTGAAGGGTAAGGGTGATTCTGGGACAAGTGGGTTACTCAAGTACTCATTCATCTACTTCCTTACTGCACTCACCCCCAACACCAAAGTATCTAAGGATTAACGTTAACGTACTTACATAATATTTTGTAGACATACCTACATCTTTTCAGGATTTTCCTCCTCATTTAGGACCACTAAAGGATTTATCTGGGTGTTTAATGTTATCAGTAAGAATGAAGTTCCCCTCCTTGGGTATGGATTAAAAAAAAATTATCCCGGGATAAGTAGCCTATAAACATTTTTAAAGGCAGAAAAATGCAGGTAAGATTATAGCCATTCCTTCTTGTCTCCTTTTCAGCTTCTCCCCCAGTTTTAAAAAAGGTTTATTTACATATCTATACCTACCTGAGCTGGGGCACAATCCAAAGGTATTGGGGAGGGGGGTTTAGAGGATTCACCAGAGATAGAGTGGGGAACAAGAATAGGTGTATTGACTGAAATAAGGTGCTGAGGAGAGCAGTGGGCTAGACAAGGAGAGATCTGCTGTGTCAGTTGGGTCACCTCCCTTGCTGTGGATCAAACTCATGCTGCAGTGGCTGCGATAGCTTTTTAGTGTTTTAACCCCTTGTGCCAGCAGGGAGGCCCCCTGTTCAGCTTCTTAAGAGATAGATCCTCCTTTGGATCAGTTCCAGGACAGCTAAACACTGCACAGCATTTCTATCAGCTATTTTTGAACCATTATTAAACTGAATGTTCTTAAAACTAGAGTTGTCTATACCTAGTCAGTATGACTTGATGTAAATAGTTCACTACTCAGGTAGGTTCTATCCTCAGTCACATCTGGGTACCTCTTCAAAGTATGTGCTCTACTTTTCAAGTATTCATCCTTGACATACACCAGAAAAAAATGCCTGTGAAAATGTATACTTGTGTGTGATGTGGTAAAAGATTTTTATGTGTTCAGTGTGTAACAGATACAGGTTTCATGGACTCCAGATGCTGGAACTCCAAATCCCATCAGTACCAAGAACATGCAGGGACGTGAGGGCAGAGCTGAGCAGCCAGGTTGGGATAAAACTGGACATGTGGGCCTGGTGGTTCGCAGCTGATCGTTTTGGCGCTCAATCGGTTTTCAGCGCGCCGGGAGTCCAAGTCAGCAGAACTGGTAGGACATCCTAGTTAACCTGTGTTTCTCTCCCTCTTTCCTGGGTTATTCCTTTACCTTTCTCCTTATAAATAAATCCATTATTTAACCTTTTGAGTGTGTCCATAATACGACTGAATCGTAAGGGCACAGGTGGAGACCTACAGACAGGCAACCCAATTCACATTGGGGTGCCCTCTAACAAGTGGAGTAGGAGGAAAGAACATGTATACAAGTGAAGGTATGCACAGATATGAGGTTTAAAAAAAATTATACAAAGTAAGAATGTAAAGAGTAACCACATGAAGATAAATTTTTGATTGACAAAGAAAAGCTGTGCACATGCTTTCTGGTGTAATAAAAGGCAGAATTCCATAGTTACAGATCCTAAAATTACTGGAATGATCTGAAAATAGTTTTTACTTCCTAAAGTAGTTATTAAGAGGGCTCTCCCTGGTGGTACAACAGGTTAAAGCACAGCACTATTAAGTTATCCATAGCCACCGCAGCACAAGTTCAATGCCCAGCCAGGAAGGTGACCCACATGGCAAAGCAGATCTCTCCTGTCCCACCCACTGCTCCACTCAGCAGTGTATTTCAGTAGATCTGAGTTTTCTGCTCCCTGCTCTGTCTTTGGTGAATCCTCTCACCCCCTGAACCTCTGGACTATAGCCCAGTTCTTGTGTGCATAAATAAATAAATCTTTTTTAAAAAGTGGTTATAAGATTAGAGTGAAAGTGTATGCTAACTTCTAACTACAGTATCAGCTCTATGTTACCTCCTTTGCCCATAAATGACCACTGTATCTTAAGGACTATGAGTTCCTCTGAATGCTAAGCAAGTCTCTGAGGCATAGTGTCATTTAGAAATGAGGGAATTGGGGGTCCTTCCTGGTGGCACAATAGGTTAAGAGTGCAGTGCTGTGAAAATACCAAAAAAAAGAAAAAGACATGATGGAATTCACAGTCAAGTCAAAAGGCAAGGACACGTCTTTTCCAAGAAAGCTTAGGATGAAAAGCATCCTCTCATTGCAACTCATTCCATTTTCCTAAGTTGATTATGAAAAGGCCCTATTCCCCGAAGTGGTTGCACCAAGCCCTACCTCCGTCTAGCACTCATATCCACAGGCTCATCATTGATGTTTTCTTTGCCTGGCCTCCCAGCAGTCCTGTTGTCTCCATGAGGCCTGAGATTCCCATTGAGTTTCTCTTCATATCCTTTGACACCACTGCTGTCCTGTTTAGTAGGTAACTCATGCGACACCTCAAGATTTGCCAAATCCTTCCGTTTGAGCAGTGCCAACATTTTTAGACGTTCCATGGCCTCGTGCCCCTCCATTTTGAGTCGTTTGGCCAGGACATCATCTCGTTCATCTGCTGGGTCCAAACTCCGCTTTAACAGGTTCAGGCGAAGAGCATCTTCTGTCATTCTATCCATCCTATGGAAAGGAAAATACTACATCAGAATCAAGTCCCTAAATTGTTCATGGGAAAGAGGTTGAGTAGTAAAGGTATTAAAAAGAATCAGATTTATACATAGAAGTTCAAAGTTAGCTTAATCAACTTTCTACCTCCTCACACAGAATTTCTGTATCAAAGATTTTTCCATTCTATGTCAGCAGGGAAAATAAACATATTTTCCAGAAGATCAAACAATAATACGCTTACCTGGATTGTTCATTAAGAGCCTACATTTCTCAAACAAGTGACTGTTGTATGCATGCTCTAAGTCAGATACTTTGGTTTTAATTCTCATCATCAAATTATTTTCCTGGAAAGACTCAGGCCATGGGCCCTCCCTGGTGGCACAACAGATTATAATGCACAGCACTAAAAAGTGATCCATAGCCACTGCAGCATGGGTTAGATCCCTGCCAAGGAGGTGAACTCCATGGCACAGCAGACCTCTCCTAACCCTCCCACTACTCGTCTCAGCAGTGTATTTCAGTACATCAGCCTGTTCTCCTCCCCATGGTCTCTGGTGAATCCTCTCAAACCCCGAACCTCTAGCCTGTACCCCAGTTCTTATATGCATAAGTAAATAAATCTTTAAAAAAAAAAAAAAGACTCAGGCTACCTGGGAAATTCCTCAGGCCACCAACATGTGACTTTATTTGGCCTATCTTATAGATAAGAAATATGAGAAAAGTGAACTAGAAGTTATATATGACAGGAAACCTCAGTTTTACTCTATTCCTAGGTCAGAGGACTTCATTGTTATTTGCCTTCAATTCTATACAGATACAGATTCAATATCTTAAGACAAGAGGTTTTGCTTAATGAAGAACTTAGGTGCTTATTAGCTGAATAAGAGGTAGTATTTTGTCTACCCATGCACAAGAATTATAGAAGACAAACTAATTATCACTTTAATTTATACTAACAAAATCTAAACACAGAACTTTTCCAGCACCTTTAAATGCAAAGCTATGTTCTTGGTAGGAAAAGCCAATGTGGCCTTAGTAAGAAAATTTTTTAATCATAGAAACAACAGCTACACATTGTTACTTACTGTTTTTTTTTTTTTAAAGATTTATTTATTTATATATACAGAACTGGGGTACAAGCCAGAGGTGCAGGGGTGGTGAGAGGCTTCACCAGAGATAGAGTGGGGGGTAGAACAGGTAGATGGACAAAGTACACTGCTGAGGGGAGCAGCGGGCGGGTCAAGAGAGGTCTGCTGTGCCATGTAGATCACCTGTGGGGCAGGAGGGATCGAACTCATGAGGAAGTGGTTTTAGCTTCTTGCTCCTTAGGGCTGTGCTTTAACCCACTGCATAACCAGGAAGAGCCCTACTTACTGTTTTTTAAAAAAATAGTTTTACTTATTTATTGTTGTAAGCACTGGGGCAGGCCCGAGGTGAGGCGGGTAAGAGGTTCCACCAGAAACAAAGTAGGGGGCAGAAAAGGCAAATCTACTGAAATACACCACTGAGGGGAAGTCTGCTTCACAATGTGGGTTAGCTCCCTCTCCAGGAATCAAACTCACGCTGCAGTGGCTGACAATAGCTGGACAGTGCTGAGACTGTCTTGCACCACAGTCTTGCACCACACCAAGGAGACCCCAAAATGTTACTTACTTTTACGATGTCAAATATTTAATAAGTTACTTTACTGACCTAATTCTCAATTTCATCTGTAAAGGTGAAGGTACTGAGAAGCTGCTCAATAAAACTTAATTTCTGTACTTTAGGTTAGCTCTCCCATACCTAAGACAAGAGATCAGGTCTGACAATTCACAGACTCAAGTAATAGGACAAAGACGTCTACCAATGTTAATTGGTGCTCTCGCAAAGAAAAAATATGTGGTTGAGGCATCTTCCTTCATGTATTCACAGTGAAATAAGGATTATTTTACTTTTCTGGTTATAATGAAGAAAAATAGTAATCAACGAAAGAATTTCCAATGGAAAAAAAATAGACCTTTTGGAGATTAGAGAGAAGGCAGAACCCAGGTCTCTGAAGTTTGGGGTAATGTTTCTTTTTTAAAAATTTATTTTATTTATTTATGTATACAATATTTATATATACAACAGCTGGGGTGTAGGCCAGAGATGCAGGGGGTAGGAGAGTTGAGCAGTAAGAGGATTCACCAGAAACAGACTAGAGAGTAGAACAGACAGAACTGAAGAGAGCAACAGGGGAGGCAGGGAGGTCTATTGTGCCAAGGGCATCACCTCCTTGGCAGACTGAACTTGTGCTACAGTGGGTGCTAGTAGCTTCAGTGCTCAGATTTAACTCTTTGCACCACCAGAGAGGCCCTGTGTAATGCTTCTTATTTTTTTTCTCTCTTAAAAGAACTGCTTTACTGAGCTCAAATTCACACAGCATACAACTCACTTACTAAACAGTTTATTATATTTAATATTTAATATATTCATAATCAACATTTTTATCATCTACCCACTAAAAAATCCATAGCACTCAGTAGTCTTTCTCCTATGCCTTCCCCTCCCCATAACTATCCCCACTATTTTCTGTCACTAAGTTTGCCTATTCTAGATGTTTTAAATAAAAACTGAGTCATACAACATATGGTTTTTAGTGACTGACTTCTTTATTTTAGTTACTAGTTTTAAGGTTTGTTCATGCTATAGCACTTATCAGAACTTCATTTCTTTTTATAGCATCTCATACTTTGTTAACTATCACTTGATGGACAGCCCACACCCATGTTTTGCCACTACCAATAACACTGCTGTGAACGTTTGTATACAAGTTTTGTGTATGTTTTCAATTCTCTTGGGATTATACTTAGGAGTAGAACTGTTAGACCCTATGTTAACTCTGTTTAGGCTATCTTAGGCTGTTTTCCAAAACAGCTGTATATCATTTTACATCACTACTAGCAGTGTACGAAGGCTCCAATTTCTCTGATCTTAGTTCTCTTTTAACAGCTTTTATAATGAGTCATGTTATAACATATATAATAAACACTTCTTAGCTAGAGGTTCTCCCCTCCAAAATGTTATTTTGACATGTATTACTTCTGAAGTGGTTTACCTCTAAAAATATCCCTAATAGAGTAATTGGAAAGCTAAATCCTACAACAGAAGTTAAGCCCTAACTCCACAATAACAGTACTATGAGTCAACACCTCATACTGAAAGTATAAATGAGAATACCATGACAAGTTGTAGAGGGTGAAGAAAGTGTTCCAATCAAGTGATTATAAATCTAGGTGTAAAAATACTTCAGGAAATTACACCGCAGGATATACAAATATAAATTAATACAGTATAGTTTCTAAGTATTGAGAAAATTATATTTAAGGGCAATAATAGCACGTGACAAAACTTAATAACCTAAAAGTGAATGGAGTTTGGGATGCCATGACTTCCTGAACATTCAACTCAATAGCTGAAAGCTATTCAGTTAATTCTCTTATTATACACCAATGACACAAGCAGATATATTGGAAGTGGGAATAAATCAGCACCAAATTATCTGAATAAGGTTAAGTCATCTTTACAAGTGGAGGGCTTGAGATCAATAGTCAAATTTTCCCAGCCTATCATTACTTTATTAGTCTGTAAGGCCCAACTTTGCATTCACAGTAATGTTTGCTTCAAAATCCAATGAAACATGAATTCTGAAAACATCATGCTAAGTAAAAACACAGAAGGACAAATGCTTTATGGCTCCACTCCTATGAGTTACCTAGAAAAGGCAAATTTAAGGAGATAGAAAATAGAATAAAGGCTCCCAGTGGCTGGTGGTGGAGCAGCATGAACAGAGCAGTTATTTAAGGAGAACAGTCTCTGGGATAGAGAAAAAGTTCTTAAAATAGAGACTGGTGGTGGTTGTACAATACTTGAAGGTACAATACTTGAAGGTACTTACCAGCCATTAAACTGTACATTCAAAAAGAGTAAAAAGGCAAGCTTTATGTTATGTGCATTCTGCCACAATTAAAAAAACAAACAAAAAACCACTGAATCAATAACAGAGACCAATAATGAAAACGGCATAAGTAGTCTTTATGGAGAGATGAAAATGTTGTAAAGCAGGACTGCAGTGACAGTTATATAACTTAAAATTTCCTTTCAAAAAATTACTGAATTTTATACTTGAACTGTATTTCAATGAAGCTGTAAAAATATGCAATGTAAACATAGCAAACCAAAATTCCTTTCTACAACACAAATGCTATAAAATTAATGTTCTATGTTGTCTTTTAATTCCTAGCCTTTCTTGTTTCCTCTGAGTTCCTAATAATTATAGTTAATATTTCTTAAGTACCTACTTAAAAGAAAAACATGCCACTAGGCACTTTATCACGTATTCTTGAATTTCTCCAACAAGTTTATTAAGTGATATTATCCTTATTTTATAGAGGGGAAAATATATTGAGTTTTCAAAAAACTACAAAACTTTAGATAGAGAATCTGCAATTACAACCCAGGTTTAGCTGACTTCAAAGTCTATTACACAACATATCTCATGCTGAGAGCTAAAGAACCTGAGGTGGCAGTATGGAGTGGTGTTATATTTGCCCATCCATCCGTACACCCCCCGCCCCCAAATATTAAATATATACTGTCAAGTTCAGGATTAGGTACTAGGAATAAAGGTGAAAAAAAAATAGGTACTTAAGGATTTCATTCTGATAGATAGATGTCTGTATAATGAAAATAAGTACTTAAAAGTTTCATATGAACTCATTTTGTCTGGTCCTATAGCCTGCTCTCCCTCCCATCCACCAGTATTTCAGTGCAGAGAATTCAACTGATCCAGAAGCAAAAGCTAGAAGCCTGACAATTACTCTTCACTTTCCTAACTCTTAAATCTAAGTTACTGAGTCAGAGGTCCTGAACACTATCAGTTCTAGTCTCTTCTTCCAAATGAGAAAACATGTAGTCCTGGCATGCTGCTGCAGGCAGCCATCTTGTGACTATGAGGGAAGGCAACCTGCAGATAAAGCAGACACTCAGTAGGGCA